GAGAGAGAATCTTAAGCAGGCTCCATGCTCAGCATGGAGCCCGACGTGGGACTTGATCCCACGACCCTGGGATCATGACCTGAATTGAAATCAAGAGATGGATGCTCAACCGACTGAGCCATCCAGGTGCCCCTGGATTATTACTATAAGGTGGAAAGACTAATTTATAAATTTGAGTCTATTTTGGCCTTGTTTTTAATTTTTGTTGTAAATTTAATAATGATTGAATTTTCTGGTCATTCTTTGTCTTTATATTTTTAAAATTTAAATGGTTATAAAATGAAATTTCTTTTACTAGTCAGTTAATAATAACACGGCTCATTTTTCTTCAGGATCAAGGAATCAACTCTGGAATTGTTTTTCTCTAGAATTTTGGCATCTTGGACTAATTCAGCCATACATGTCCTTGAATCAAGTTCCCCAAGCCTAAAGGACAGTCTGAATGGGAATTCAAGCATAGTTGGGAAACTTTTGGAATATGTCTATACCCACTGGGAACATCCATTGGATGCTTTGAGACACCAAACCAAAATTATATTCAGAAATGTTCTCCAAATACACCAGCTCACTAAAGAAAAATCAGACTCAGAAGCGTCAGGTTTGGCTGCCGATCGTTTCATTTGTGAATTGACAGAGAGTCTTTTGCGACTGGAATGGCATGTTAAAGGGAAATACATGTGTCTTGGTTGTTTAGTAGATTATACAGGAATTGGACATATTTTGGCACTAGCCAAAACTATTCCATCACAAATCTTAGAGGTGATGGGAGACCAGTCATTGGTACCTTATGCAAGTGACCTCTTGGAGACCATGTTCAGAAGTCACAAGAGTCATTTGAAGTCCCAGGCTGTTGACAGTACGTGGATTGATGAGTGGCATGAGACTTGGGTTTCTCCTCTCCTTTTTATACTGTGTGAAGGAAATCTGGACCAGAAATCTTATGTGATCGATTATTACTTGCCAAAATTGTTGAATTGCAGCCCCGAAAGCTTAAGCTACATGGTAAAGATTCTTCAGTCTTCTGCTGATGCTAAAAGTGGTAAGATGAACCATTCTTTTAGTAATTTCTAGTTAAGAAAGGGTAGGTACCTCGGTAGATGTGGACGATATTCACATTTCAATATTACCACTTCCATAAATTGCAAAAGAGGACATCAATGATAGAGATTTCAGATTGAAATGAATGTTCCTGTCCTGAGTGGAATAGAATTTTTTTGGCTTAAGTCATTTCTATAAGCTAAAGATTGATTTAAGTTATGAGTATAAGGTTCCCTTTATTACTAGTTTTTTTTTTAAGTCTTTTTTTTTTTTTTTTTTTTTTTTTTTTTTTTTTTTTAGTTTATTTATTTATTTTGAGAGTGGAGTGGGGCAGAGTGAGAGGGGGAGAGAGGATCCCAAGCAGGCTCTGCACTGTCAACTCAGAGCTGGACGCGGGGTTCGATCTCAGGAATTGTGAGATCCTGATCTGGGCCAAAATCAAGAGTCAGATGTTTAACTGACTGAACCATCCACGCTGCCCGCCCCCCCTCCTCCCCCCTTATTACTAGTTTTATCTCATTTTACTGAGTTGTTATTTGTTAGGTTGTCAGACTGGAATAAAAGTGAGTGTTTTATATAAGTTCCTTATTCTAGTGATTGAAACAGTAATTAAGTATTGTTTTAGGCAAGGATGAAGACAGATTAAGTTGACAGTAGCAAGTTTTTGTCTCTGGGAAAGAGAAAAAATATGTAGAACATGTGTGACCTCAAGAAACAGCCATCTGTAGTCAATTAGAATAGGGGTAAACATTCCATTGAAACTCAGTAACCTGGAAGGAAGTACTACATTAAAGCATAAATCAGTAATTAATATGTAAATGATGGATCTTGACTTATCATGTAAATCTTAAAAAAAAATTTTTTTTTAATGTTTATTTATTTTTGAGAGAGAGATAGACTTGAGCTGGGGAGGGACAGAGAGAGGGAGACATAGAATCCGAAGTAGGCTCCAGGCTCTGAGCTGCCAGCACAGAGCCCGATGTGGGGCTCGAATTCATGGGTGGTGAATCATGTGAGATCATGACCTGAGCTGAAGTTGGATGCTTAACCGACTGAGCCGTCCAGGAGCCCCTATCATGTAAATCTTAAAATTATTATTTTCTGTTTAACGAAGCAGGAATATGGTACCCTGCATCACAGTTTAAGAAAACTTATAACTAAAAATAGTTGAAAACTTTCAATACTTCAAACAGTAACCACAAGGTAGCTAGAAAAATCTGATTCCTATACCCAAAAATAAGCCATTATTTGTAGCTGGGTTTTTTTTCTCATTATTTGTAGTTTTTAACAACAATTGTTCCCGCCTTTCTGAGAAGCCATCTAAAGTTCAAGATTCATGAATCTGTTCTGAAATAAGGCAGTCTCTATTTTTATATCATTGCACCTTGTGAGGTTGAGCCCCCTGTCCTGTTAGTAATGGCTGATATCCTAATTTCCAAACACATTAGGTTTTTTGGTGTTTTTTTTTTTAGTTCATTTATTTATTTTAAGAGACAGCGTGAGCCAATGTGAGTGGGGGAGGGGCAGAGAGAGGGAGAGAGAGGATCCCAAGCAGGGTCTGTGCTGTCAGCATAGAACCCCACATACAGCTTGATCTCATGAACCGTGAGATCATGACCTGAGTCAAAATCAAGAGAGTCGGATGCTTATCTGCCTGAGCCACCCAGACACCCCAAGCACCAGGTTCTTTATAATCCTCCTTTTGTCTTTTTTATGAGGGAGGAAGAATACCTCCAAAATATGCAGAGGGTTAGTGTTTATTTTTAGAGAAATGATATTTGGCCACTGAAGTGTTTTTCCTGATTTTGGCTGAAAGTCGCCCCAAGAATGATTTCTTTAAGTTAACATAAGGGGATTATGCTTACTGAAAGTTATTGACACAAGAACTATTAAATCTCTTTCAATAATGTTTCTTTTATAATAGGAACTTTATTTATTAAAATTTTTTTTAATGTTTATTTTTGAGAGAGAGACAGAGACAGAGCATGAGTAGGGGAGGGGCAGAGAGAGAGAGGGAGACACAGGATCTGAAGCAGGCTCCAGGCTCTGAGCTATCTGCACAGAACCTGATGATGTGGGGCTTGAACTCACAAACCGTGAGATCATGACCTGAGCTGAAGTTGGCTGCTTAACCGACTGAGCCACCCAGGTGCCCTTAGAATAGGAACTTTAATTCACGTTAGAATTTAAAATACAATTTTTTTCTGGAAATATAATGTTAATTGCAAATGAAAATTGTGGTAGTTGTTTTGTTATATAGCACAGTAGTGGTCTGTGTTACTGTGCTTTTGAGGCAACAATCTTTTCCATCCTTAGGATCTTATAATAGTGCAGGGGCTCTGGGAGCTTTGATGGCATGTCTGCGAGCAGCTAGAGCTCATGGACATCTTCGGTCTGCAACTGATGTCTGGAGGAACCTTGTGTCCAGCGCAAGAATAAAACAAGGCTTAATTCATCAGCACTGCCAAGTAAGCAAACAAAATGTCTGAGAATTTCATACATGTAGTAGATCCCTGAGTCATTTATTCAGTTAGCAGTCCACTATAGAGGCCCCTCTGTTGAGCCCAGAACTATTTTAAGGGGTCCATAGGGAGGGTAAATTGAAAGTGAAAAGTGTAGAGTTTGCATCCCGGCCATTTAAATTTTATTTATTTATTTACTTATAAAAAATATTTATTTTTGAGAGAGCATAAGCAGGGGAGGGGTAAAGAGAAGGGGACGGAGGATCCGAACGGGGCTCTGTGCTGACAGGCTGACAGCAGTGAGTCCGATGTAGGGCTCGAACACACAAACCACGAGATCGTGGCCTGAGCCGAAGTCGGTTGCTCAACCGACTGAGCTACCCAGGCGCCCCCAGGCTATTTAAATTTTAGTTGAAGGAATAAGAAAACCTGTGTAACACAAGTGGAAACTCTTAGAAGACTATTCATATATAAGTGCGCTTTTATGGGTTAGGATTTGGGGGGGAGCTTAGAGCAGAGTAGGTGGTGGTTGATTAGAAATGTGATAAATGCGATTAAGGGAGAGGAAGTGTTGGAGCAGTACACAAAATGGGAGACCACTAGAATTGACAAATGAATTCAGTAAAGTTGCAGGATAGAAAATCAATGTACAGAAATCTGTTGGATTCCTATACACTAATGATGAAGCAGCAGAAAGTGAAATTAAGAAAACAATCCCATTTATAATTGCACCAAAAACAGTAAAATATACCGTGAAAACTATAAAGCATGGATGAAAGGAATTAAAGATGATGCAAAGAAATGGAGAGACATTCCATGCTCATGTGTTGGAAGAACTAATACTGTTAAAATGTCTATACTACTCAAAGCAATCTACAAATTTGATGCAATCTATCAAAATACCAACAACATTTTTCACAGAACTAGAACAAACAATCCTAAAATTTGTATGGAGCCCACAAAAGACCTCAAATAGCTAAAACAATCTTGAAAAGAAAAACTAAATTGGAGGTATCACAATTCCACATTTCAAGTTATATTACAGAGTGGTAGTAATTAAAACAGTTTGGTGCTGGCATAAAAATAGACACATAGATCAATGGAATAGAATAGAAAACCTAGAAATAAACACACAATTATACAGTCAATTAATCTTCAACAAAGCAGGAAAGAATATCCAATGGGAAAGACAGTCTCTTCAACAAATGGTGCTGGAAAAACTGGACAGCACCATGCAAAAGAATGAAACTGTACTACTTGCTCTCACCTTAAACAAAAATAAACTCAAATGGATTAAAGACCTAAATGTGAGACCTGAAATCATAAAAATCCTTGAAGAGAGCACAAGCAGTAATCTCTCAGATGTTGGCTATAGCAGCATTTTTCTAGATAGGTCTCCTGAGGCAAGAGAAACAAAAGCAAAAATGAACTATTGGGAGTACATCAAAATAAAAGCTTCTGCACAGCAAAGGAAATAACCAACAAAACTAAAAGGCAACCTACGGAATGTGAGAAGATATTTGCAAATGACCTATCCAATAAAAGGTTAGATATAAAGAACTGATATAACTCAATACTCAAAAAACAAATAATCTAATTAAAAACGGGCAGAAGAGAAATCATAGTAATAATTTAAAATGACAAAAAATGGGCAGAAGACATGAACAGACATTTCTGCAAAGAAGGCATTCAGATGGCCAAAAGACACATGAAAAGATGCTCAACATCTGATTCATCATCAGGGAAATGCAAATCAAAACTACAATGAGATATTATCTCACACCTGTCTGAATGAGCAAACTCAAACATAAGAAACATCAAGTGTTGACAAGGATGTGGAGGAGAAGAAACCCCCTTGCACTGTTGGTGGGAATGCAAACTGGTATAGCCACTGTGGAAAACAGTGTGGAGGTTCCTCAGAAAATTAAAAATAGAAATATCCTATTTTCCAGTAATCACACTACTGGGTATTTACCCAAGAAATCCAAAAACATTAATTCAAAGGGACACATGCACCTGATGTTTACTGCAACATTATTTACAATAGCCAAACTGTGGAAGGAGCTGAAGTGTCCAATAGATGAATGGATAAAGAAGATGTGGTATATCTATTATATACATATATGCAATGCAATATTACTCAGCCATAAAAAAGAATGAAATCTTACCATTTACAACAACATGGATAGAGCTAGAGAGTATAATGCTAAACAAACTTAGAGAAAGACACATATATCATGTGATAGCACTCATATGTGGAAATTTAAGAAATAAAACAGATGAGCAAAGGGAAAAAAAAAGAGACAAACGAAGAAACAGACTTTTCACTACAGTGACAACCAGATGGTTACCAGAGGCGAAGTGATTTGGGGGAAGGGAGAAATAGGAGATGGGAATGAAGGAGTATAGTTATCGTGATGAAAAAAAATAAAATGATTTACAAAAAAAAAAAAATACTAAAATGGGAGAACACAAAACAAAGTCAGGAGGATGATTCAGGACATTGTTTGCTAAGAGTGGAGTGTTTATGGAGGCCTCCAATGCTAGGTTGAAGACTTCAGATTTCACTCAGTTGGTAACTAGGAACCAGAGCCATTCTGCCTTCAGCAAAAAAGTGGAATTAATGGAAACAGATGAGTTTCCAGTGTGAGAGCAAAAAGAAACCAGAAGACTGGTAAGATGTGCATAACTGTAATCTAAGAGTGAAGTGATAAGGTCCTGGAGTAGACTAGTCCCTGAGAAAAAAGAGGAAAAAAGAATGAAATTGAGCATTACCATGGAATAAGAATCTTTAAGATTGTTGACTTGCAAATACCCAACTTACACATTTAATAAAATTATAGGATATAACCACAGGATCTTTGGGATTAGGAAACCTGTCTTTTTAAAAAAAAATTTTATTTCATTTTTTAAGTTCATTTATTTGAGAGAGCGTACACACACAAACAGAGGAGCAGTGGGAGAGGGAGGGAGAAAATCCCAAGCAGGCTCCACACTGTCTGTGCAGAGCCCTACATGGCGCTTGAACTCACAAACTGAGATCATGACTTGAGCTGAGATCAACATTTGGGTACTTAACCGACTGAGCCACTCACACACCCCTTAGGGAACCTTTCTGAAGTACATGTGGGTAAACTGTGTTTTACTGTTTTTTTGGTAAATAAATATGTCAAGTAGTTTACATTTTGCTTATTTCATTGAAAAAGTAACGTTTTATTGCTTGATGTGTTTTAGGTACGGATAGATACGCTAGGCTTGCTTTGTGAAAGTAATCGAAGTACAGAAATCGTTTCCACAGAAGAAATGCAGTGGATTCAATTCTTTATCGCATACAATCTTAACAGTCAGTCCCCAGGAGTGCGACAACAGATTTGTTCTCTTCTTAAAAAGGTAGAATTTCTCATCAGAAAGTATTGGAAAGTGGTGGACTCTGCTCTACAAATCATTTTTGAAAAGAGCTCAGATTTTGAGAGAATGTGGGAATAATGGTCATAGGATTGGACTGCACATCCCTTCATGGCCCTTCTGTGAACCATTTCCCTAAAGTTTACATTTGGGATTCAAGTCCATGGTATAAAGTCCTTTCGTTTTGGTGTAAAATAAATCAAACTTGAGCTCTTTTTTTTTTTTT